CAAATTTTAGACCCAATTGTAAAACAAAAAAAATTATCACTTTAATGGACAATTTCCATGAAAAACGAAGCCAAACAGACACCAAACTTTCAACATTTTCTAGGTGAAAAATTATATCTAGTAAAACAAATTCTAGCCAATTCAATTCCCTGTAATTCATTTTCTTTTCACCCAAATTCCACCTTTGTAATCAAACGGACCTTTAGTTTACATTTGATTCACAATTAATTGCATGAACATAGATAGCACAAGCCAGCACCAGAGGCACATAAATGTGCTGTATAGTGAAGCATGAACTTGATTTCTAATTTTAGTTATACTGAATGCATGTATGGCTTTTTAATGTTATAGTACTATTGACAAAATTTAACACTCTCTAGGAGAATTAAAAGACAAGATTTCAACTCCTAGAATTAGAAAAATACAATTTGAAGTATTGAACCCCCAATTCCCCGCTTTGAAGTTTCAAAGTATTTCACTATTTCGTGAACTTCAGAATGTAAGGGCATGTTCTCTTTACTATTTTCAAACCGTTTTTCGTTTTCGATTTTCGAAAATAATGAAAACGCGTTTTCTTTTCTATTTTCGAAAACGCGTTTTTGAAAACAAGTTAAAAATTTACAAGAAAATCCAAAACGACAATTTTTCGTTTTAGGTGTTTTCAATTATAATCAAGCCAAAATTTTCAAAACGCATTTTAGGTGTTTTCAAAATAATTTTTCAAAATGTCAAAAAGAACAAATTTTCAATAATCTCAAAATGAATACTCAAAACCCAAAATGAATTCAAAACTCAAAACATAAAACTGAAACACAAAGAGAATAGCTCATAAACGTTCTAAATTATGCTTAGGAAACATAAATAAATAGGGATAGATCAATCTTCATGATAATGGACGGATTTAGCATCTTTTTGTCTACTCTTGCCAATTCTTCAACCTGAAGTATAGCTCTATGCTAACCATAATATCATCAGATTACCATCAGTGCAACAACAAGAAGAAACCAGGCCTTATCCTCAATAAATAGATTACAAATAGAAAAAGTAGAAACGTCAATAGCAAAAAATTATTACAGGAATCTATACAACAAGGTTTTCTACACAACAAGGTTTTCCCATATGCAACTTGATTCAGATGAATTCACTAATGCAATCAACCTCTTGTAGTTGACAGTGAGTCATTGATAGAATAAGCTAAACATTACATGCTATTAACGTATAGAAACATTATTAGGAGAGAATTCATCAAGAGGTATAGGAATAACAAAGTTCTTTCCTTTGGGCTCATAGTCTGCTTTCATATTAGCACAGTTGTTTGCTGCTAATAGCTTCGAACTCAAATCAAAATAACTGCTATGATAAATGTCATCATACATTTTCTCCAAGTCAAGACTAGAATATTCATTTCAGACTAAAATCCTTCTTTTCATCTAATTGAAGAAATATTGTCATCACAATTTCTAATCTTGTAAAAAAAAAAAGGATCAAAACTTTATGCAAGGAAAAAAATCTCAAAATTTCCATAGACAAGAGTTGCCTTACTTTTCCTCTAACTCACAAACAAGTTATAAATTATCACTCTTGCAGAAAACTTACATGTCCTGCCCTGTGAACAAACACCAAAATAACTAGTGTGTTAGCCTCTGTTTCACAGAGCTATTTTTTCTAGTTCCACTTATTCAAAATTTTCTTCTCTCACCTCATATGAGTAGATCAAGGAATAACTTTGGATCTAGCAAATAATGCACATACGGAAGCATTCAAATAAAAATTATTACCTATGTCCTTTGACCCTAAACCAGGCCTCTGCGCATTCTGAATGTGCAATCCCAAGCTCTCCTTTACACCCACAACCAATCTCCATCAAATCTGTAGCTTCTTTGCCACATTCCTTAGCACTCAAATGGCATATTCTGCAGACCCGTTCGCCCTCTCCTACAGAGCTCCCATTTTCACCAGAATCAGAATTCTTGACATCAATCACACATGACGGACAGTTGTCTTCCCCCTTCACTTTTGCTGGTTTATCCACTATCATCGCTTCATTTGGCGTTGACCCATTTGACTTGCCATTTAAATCTGCAGTTACAATCGGTCCAATTGTGACATGAGTCTCAGAATCAGCTGAATTGCTTGAACGATCACCCGCACTAATTTGTTTCATTTCTTGATTAATTTCTTTCGTCGAATCACTCAAATCTTGATCCATCAATGTTAAAACAACTATTCGCAATCAATGGCTAAATCTACAACAATCCGCAACTACAGCACATACTCCCAATACTGACTATGTGAAGAACAATCAATAACAAACAGCTAAAGGGTGTATTGTATATCGAAGACTAAGAGTATAATGGATAGGGCTAACAACGCAGGAATTGGCCAATGGAAACGTGATACGTGGAGAGTAGTTGCCTAGTTGGTAAGGTTCCATTACCATTGGCGATGAAAACAGGATTTGTATTTGTAGGGTGGAACTGATCTGGGGTTCGAGTATTTTGCCCTAAAAAATCTGAAATCGGGTAAAGTTGACTTGCGTATCCAAGAGCAATTGTCCTTCACCTTCGTGGATAAATAAAGTACTTTGAGATCGAGTTTATATTGATAAATTAATGATTGCCCCTCTGTAATTGGTAAAGGACAACTGGTTTCTTTCTGTTTCACGGTGAAACTATCCACAGCCGCCACGCCACGCCACGCCACGCGACGGACGGCAAAATTCATGTCCAATAGCATGTTTTTACCACTTTATATTATTCCAAATTGCATCTTTCTTCCTCAATTCATTCTTTTTTCTTTTTTTTCAATAACATCCTCTTCTTATTATTTTCAATATAAATAACATCTTTCAAAGCCACTAAAGAGACTTACACTCTTTCGTCCAGTTAAAATTATAATTCATTTTTATATTTCTTCTTATCAATCACATGTTTTTCAATAAAATAATATTTCACATAATTTTAAAATATTATTTTATTTTTTAACCACACATTTTTTTCAAAAAAAAAAAAAACACTATTTCAACAATTAAAATTTCAAATAATGGGGCCAAATGGGGCTTAGTCATATTAATTAAATTTAATTAGTACCAAAAACACATTCTTTTTTCTAATTCAGAGATCTGTTTTCTTTTTCGCAATCCTACTTTCACAGCGGTAATTGAGAAATTTTAGAAAATAAAGAAGTTTTATACAAACTCAACAATTAAACATAAACTAATTTTTGTTTTTTATTTTTTAACGACACATTTTTCAAAAAATCACTATTCCAAAAACAATTTTTTTTTTCCAAAAATGGGGTTCAAATAGGATCTTATTCTTTTACATTCGACTATCCTCTCTTGTCTTTCATTTGGTCTCATGATGTACTTTGTGTTCGTTCATTAACAAATCTACCTCCCTTCAAAAGAAACATGTAATATATGTATATAGTCAATTTTATTCTCGTTTTAATATTACAAATTTTGTAGTATTATGAAATAAACCAATAATATTTACAAGTTGATGAAATTTAACGTTCACGGACTATTTCAGCGTTTGTTGTGGGACCAAAAACATGGTTGCTTGCCCACTAGTAAGGTGGGATAACATGATACTTACTTGTTGCCTACCATGTATGTAACGCGTTTAATAATTCCTTGCCCAACTTGGACAAGGACACTTGATTAAGGTTGTACATGTCCTCCCCTTCAATTTTCTAAGCTCACGTTTGTCTCTCATTTTTTTAAATTTTGTTTTTTTGAATACTTATTTTTAATCACATTCACACAATAAAATATTTTACACGTAACTTTAAAAAATTTTCTTATTTTTTAACAACACATTCTTTAAAAATTCATTATTCAAAACAATATTTTTCCAAAAAATAGCCACCAAACAAGGGCTAAATAATTTCAGGAGTGATATCCGTGGGGTCCATATTCTCCTCCCCTTGTGGCTAGACCATATTGTAAGTTGCCCAGATTCCAATGTCATTTTCACAATAAATATTGAGGAAGAATACACCTATAACCGTGTTTGAAAGATACAATTTCAAAATTAAGAAATTTATTTTAAAATTTTAAAAATCATGTAATAATTACATTTTATTAATTAAACAAATAATTAAATATATTTTATTAATTAAATATATTAAGTTAAATAATACCTCATTTTGATCCTCATAATACTTTTTCACATCAAATCAATGTGGGACCGCCTACATGTGACTCTATTCCATTTCAAATAATATGCCTCCCTTTGACATCCATTTTTTTCTCATTCTTTTTCTTTTTCTTCATTTCAACCATATATTCTATCAATAAAATAATATTACACATAAACCTAAAAATTCTCCTTACTTTTTAACTATACATTCTTCCATCAATCACTATTCAAAAACTAATTTTTCTACTAANNNNTTCAAAAACTAATTTTTCTACTAAAATGGATGTCAAACACCCTTACCTACTAAAAGTTTACACTAATTTACATTTTTGTCTTTTTGTCTTTATTTGTTTTTTATCCATTTATGATTTTTTTGGATTGGGAAAAAGGGCAAATGTGGAAAATTGTTTCCAAAGTATGATTTTTTTTGTAGGGTTATGCTTCACTGCCAGAAGGATATTGCCATAATCTTACCAGATACTCACAAAGGCTTTTAATAATATAAAGTTAGCTTATGTTAAAGTACTATTTTGCCCTTACTTTCCTTATTTGCAAATTATACCCTGTATCTTTTAATTGTTAGATTGTTCAAGGTTATATCTTATAATTCTTCCATTTGGATCGTAGGTTCTTAGAACTAATCTTGGAAATCTTAGTTCAATATTTTCTTGTAACCAAATCAAGTATTATTGTTGCTCGTATTGGTGATATCTTATAGTTTTCAAGATTTTATCCCATATTTCTGTATTATTTTCTCTTTTAAGTTCTTCAATGAGTTTCCTAATTTCTCTAGATCTTAAGTCACTGGTATTATCTTGGATTTTTCCAAATCTTTCAATATTTTCTCTTTCCTCTTGATTCATTAATCAGAATTACTATTTATACGATATTCCTTTAACCTTTCAATTTGTTCTAAATATTCTCTATATTTTGTTAATTTTTAAAAAGTTCTAGGTTGATTTTCTTCAGTTATATATCCAAAAATAATTCCTTCTGAAACTTCTTCTTCTATATTTT